AGTTGGATCATTAAATTAAAAAAATTAAATCATTTTTAAGTTTGAAATAATATCGAATTTGAATAATTCAAATATAACATTTAAATTATTTGGAATTTGATTGATTCAAATTTAAATTAAAAAATTTCAAAACACTAATTTTTGTATTAAATTTAGATTTGGACTAATTGAACAAAAAATTCAAACTTAGGTTACTTTTATCAACGCTAATCCTTGCTCTTTTATATTAGCTTTTCCTTTCTTGATTTATATGAGTATATTGAAATCAAATTAAAAAAAAATTCGAACATCATAATTTAATAAAAAATAATAAGATAAATTATTTTATTACATAATTACTTCATATTATTAATGGAATCATTTATTACGATAAAAACCATGATAAATAAATAGTAGTAAGTGGCAGTGATGTCCACGCATTTGAAAGAAAAGTAAGAGTAGAATCTATGTCAAGTCCTAGATAGACCGCACACATAGAAACACGTCCAACCTCAGTATTATTACATTTCTAAGACAAACAGAAAAAAATAAAATAAAAAATCATGTTGTGGTGCCAAAAGTCAGCTCGATGTCTTTACATTTCAAATCACTCTCCCAAGTCCAATGTACCTTGCTTCTTGTTTTTATAATAAAATACAAATTCTCTTTCTAAACAAGCACCAAAGATGGGAACTTTCCTTTGCTTTTCGTTCCCTTTTTTTTTTCTCTTTTTTATGTTGGGTTCTTTGGAAACTATTACTCACCAACAAGTCAAGCTACACAGTCATAGATGGTTGGTAGGAGGTTCTTGGCTTATAAAAGTTCTTCTTTTTCTTTTATTGCTGTTTGATTATTGGGATCTGACTTTTTTTTTTCAATTAAGAGATTCAATCTTGGCTACTATAAAAGTGACTGATTTACTTGGCAGGTGATTCTCAGCAGTGCGTCTTTTTCATTTTCCTTTAAAAAGGTCGTTTTTGTTCAACAATTTGGACTTCTGTTAAGTGTTTGTCGCTTTGTTTGCAAGTTGTTTGTTGCTGGTTTTTGAAAGGGTGTGTTTTGGGATGTGACTTGTGAGTAAAGTTGCTTCATTTAGGAGTTTTCTATGTCTTTCTACAGGCAGTAGTGTTTTACTAAAACACTTTCTCATGTGCGGACTTAAGTTCTGAATTTCTTGATTTATGGTCTTGGGATTTGATTTTTTTTTTTCAGGTGGGGGTTGTTGATATCAATATATTTATCCTTGGTTGCTTGATTTCCAAGTTGCCAAGTTGAGTTTTTGTTGGATATTGCTTTTGGAATGTGGGCATGTAAGTCTCTATCTGGGTTATCTTTCTTTTTCTTTGCATATGAAAAGAAGTGAACATTGTCAATTATGTCATATTGATTGAATTTGTCTTGGGATTTTTCCTTTGTTTTTTCAGAAATGGTGGTGCTGGGGTTTATTCCAATGACTTTCCTCAATTGCGTGCTCTTGGCTTGCTTTTTTTGTTTTGCACTGAGCCTACAAACCTCAGGCCAATCCTGTGATCCAAATGATTTGTTGGCACTAAAAGAATTTGCTGGAAACCTCGCAGGGGGGGGTCCATCATCACTGCATGGTATAATGAATCTGTTTGCTGCCAATGGGATGGTGTTGTTTGTGGAAATAAGAGTAATGTCTTAGCTTCTAGTAGAGTAACCAGCTTGATTCTGCCTAAAAGGGGTCTCAAAGGGAAAATTTCAAGCTCTTTGGCCAGATTAGATCAGCTGAAAAGGCTTGATCTTTCTTGCAATCACCTTGTAGATTTATTGCCTTCAGAGCTCTCAAACTTGAAGCAGCTTGACTTTCTTGATTTGAGCTATAACAAGCTGTCAGGACCAGTTTCTAAATCGGTTTCTGGTTTGATTTCAATTCAATGGCTGAATTTTTCAAGCAGTTCATTCAATGGGGACCTGTTAGAGCTTGGAAGGTTTCCAGATGTTGCTGTGTTCAACTTGAGCAACAATTCATTTACCGGCCAAGTCAGTTCTCAAATCTGCAGTTACTTCAAACGGATTCAGGTTCTTGATTTATCAATGAACCGCTTAGTGGGGAGTCTTGAAGGCCTAGACAATTGCAGTATATCTCTACAACAGTTGCATTTGGACTATAATTCCCTTTCAGGCTATCTTCCAGATTCTTTGTACTCAATGTCATCATTGGAGCGACTCTCTATCTCTGGGAACAATTTCTTAGGACAATTAAGCAAGAAATTGAGTAAGCTTTCTAGCGTTAAATCCTTGATTAATGCTGGAAACCACTTTTCAGGTAGACTTCCTATGTCTTTGGGAACCTGGCACAGTTAGAGCTGCTATGTGGACACTCAAATTTGTTTTCTGGTCCATTGCCTTCATCCCTGGCACTCTGCTTAAAGCTTCAAGTACTTGATCTTAGAAACAATTCGTTAAGTGGTCCTCATGATCTCAATTTCACTGGAATGCCTAATCTTTTTTCACTTGATCTTGCTACCAATCATTTTGCCGGTTCCCTTCCCACTTCCCTGCCTGATTGTAAAGAACTGCATGTTTTGAGCCTGGCAAAGAATGAATTCAGTGGCCGAATCCCTGAGAGTTTTGCCAATCAGGGATCACTCGTGTTTCTCTCGCTGTCGAATAATAGTTTTACTGATTTATCCGGGGCTCTATCTGTGCTTCAGCAATGCAAAAATTTTACCACTCTTATCCTCACAAAGAATTTAAATAGAGAGGAAATTCCCAGAAATGTAAGTGGGTTTGAGAGCTTAACGGTTTTAGCACTTGGAAATTGTACTCTGAAAGGCCAAATACCAGATTGGTTGTCAGATTGCAAGAAGCTCAAAGTTTTAGATTTGTCATGGAATCACTTAAATGGCAGTATCCCAACTTGGATTGGTCAGATGGAGAATTTGTTTTACTTGGACATCTCAAATAACTCTCTCACTGGAGAAATCCCAAAGAGATTGACAGAGCTAAAGAGCCTCATTTCTTCAAATTCCAGCTTAGCCACTGTTGCATGTTTCGCTGGGATCCCATTGTATGTAAAGCGAAATCAGAGTGCTAGTGGACTTCAATACAACCAGCTTTCAAGTTTTCCCCCATCGTTATACTTGAGCAATGATAGATTAAATGGGACAATTTTGCCTGAAATTGGGCTATTAAAGCAGCTCCATGTCTTGGATTTGAGCCGGAATAATATTTCTGGGATCATCCCTATTTCCACTTCCAATATGGAGAACTTGGAAGTTTTAGATTTGTCATACAATGACTTGCTCGGGTCAATTCCCCAGTCATTTGCCAAGCTCACATTTTTGTTGAAATTTAGCGTGGCATACAATCACTTGTAGGGTGTGATTCCAACTGGTGGACAGTTTTATAGCTTTCCTAGCTCAAGCTTTGAGGGGAACCCTGGACTTTGTGGGAAAATAGTCTCTCCTTGTCATGATATTGACAATATGCTGAAGCCAGCTATTCCATCTGGCTCAAACAAAAAATTTGGTCGAAGCAGCATTCTTGGAATAACAACCAGTATGGGAGTTGGGATATTGTTGCTTCTTGCTATTGTTCTACTAAGAATGTCAAGGAGGGATATGGAGGAACCAATTGATGATTTGGACAAGGAACTCAGCAGGTCACACAGGTTATCTGAAGCTCTTGGCTCATCAAAGTTGGTTCTTTACCAAAGTTCAAACTGCAAGGAGTTCACAGCTACAGACTTGTTAAAATCTACAAACAATTTTAGTCAAGCAAATATAATTGGTTGTGGTGGCTTTGGACTGGTTTACAAGGCCTACCTTCCAGATGGTACAAAAGCTGTGGTCAAGAGACTTTCTAGTGATTGTGCTCAGATGGAACGCGAATTTCGAGCTTAAGTTGAAGCCCTTTCAAGAGCTCAGCACAAGAACCTTGTTTCCCTTCAAGGTTATTGTAAGCATGGCAATGGTAGATTATTAATTTACTCCTATATGGAGAATGGAAGCTTGGATTATTGGCTGCATGAGAGTGTTGATGGTCTTCAATTCTCAAATGGGATGTGAGACTCAAGATAGCTCAAGGAGCAGCTCGCGGGTTGGCTTACTTGGACAAGGTTTGTGAACCAAACATAGTTCATAGAGATGTAAAATCTAGTAACATTCTTTTGGATGAAAATTTTGAAGCTCATTTGGCAGATTTTGGTCTCTCAAGGCTACTCCGCCCATATGATACCCATGTCACAACAGACTTAGTTGGAACATTGGGTTATATTCCTCCAGAGTACAGCCAGACACAAACTGCAACCTGCAGAGGTGATGTTTACAGTTTTGGTGTCGTTCTTCTTCAGCTTCTTACCAGTAGAAGGCCCGTGGAAGTATGCAAAGGAAAATATTGCAGGGATTTGGTGTCTTGGGTGTTTCAGATGAAATCTGAGAAAAGGGATCAGAGATTATAGATTCATCAATATGGGACAAGGATCGCGAAAAGTAGCTGTTAGAAATGCTTGAAATTGCCTGCAAATGCTTAGACCAGGATCCAAGGCAGAGACCATTAATTGACGAAGTTGTTTCATAGTTGAATAGTATTGGAAATGAGGCTGTTCAACGATGAACCTTCATTGATTGTTTACTCATTGAAATCTTAGTCGGGAGGGTATACCTGTAAAGCAGACACTGTCAAGTTTCTATAAGGTTGGAAGGAGTCCTGACCAATTGACTTTGATTTGTTACAGAAAATCATTTGGCATTGCATACATAGGTTATTCTGGCTATTTGTTCTACCTGAAATAAGCAATTATAGAATAACTAACTATTTCCTCTAATTTTTCCTCATTTCAATCAGGAACAGTGTTAGCTGAAAATGTGGTCTTTATACGCAGTGGTTATGGACCATTTGGTAGCTTTGATCCATCTTAAATTCAATCCGAATCAAGTTAAAAAATTCAACGCTCTAAAATTGAATCTAAAGTGAACTGGTTGTTGTATTTGACGGAGTAAAAGTGACAAAAGTCTATACTAAATGAACAAGAACCAATCTTAGGTCTCAACTTCCATAAAACTTGGCCCAACTCCAATTGACTTAAAATGAACGTTGATGCAATGACAGAAGCAACTAGCTAGGTATATTGAGCAGAAAAATAAGGAGTTTACATCTGAATCTCATCTAGTCCATTAGGCAGCTTCGGTACATTTTGCTTATGTATAGAAAGCTTCTAATATGACACAAAATATGCATAACATTCTATTAGCATAACAAAGGTGCATGCACATCATTTGAAAGGAGTTTGTTATCATATGAAAGCAGGAGAGTTCCCACGCTTAAGATCACTAAAATCTTACAACAATGCAGGAGATGTCATCTGTGCTGTTCCTCTTAACAGCCTCCTCAGTTAGGTGCTTTGCTGCAGACTGAGCATCCTTAATGTTCCTGATAGCATCGACAGCTTCTTTGTTTGTCATTACCTGGAATCAGTTTGAAGGAACAGACAGTTCAATCTTGGGTGCAACTTGCAGTTTCAACAAAAGTCAATTGTCTTAGGATTATGACACATTTAGATAGGACCAACCTTCCATAAACCATCACTTGCCAATATTATTAACTCTGTATCATCATCAATCATTTCTACGGTCACATCCGGCTCTGAACTAAGATGTTTCTTTAAACTCTTGTCACCAAATGCCCTTGCCACTGCCAACTGCCCATCAACACGAGCAACATCCCCTGAAATAACAACAGAACTTACAGCTTTTTATATCAGGATAAATGAGCGCATAACCTTGAGTAGAACGACCAAAAAAGGTTCATTAATCTTGATCAAAGATCGGCACCCATTACCTGGAAAGTTTGACACAAAACCACCTCTATTTTCAATTCTCTCCTTTTCTGTGGAGGGCTCATGATCAACTGATAACTGTACAGCCTCACCATTCTTGCAGATAACAGCCCGAGAATCACCAACATTTGCTATTACTAGCTTCTGGCAGTTGATCAATATCGCTGTGACTGCCGTTGAACCCCCTTGGCCCAAATCAACTGCTTTTTCCAATATATTTGTATCTGTTATATGATATGCTTTTCTAATTGCAGTCTCTGGTTCTGTCCAAAAGTCAGGCTGCTTGACAGAAAATGGAATCTAAGGCACATACTTGCCAGAAAAAATGATAATGATTATGAAACACCAATTTACTATGACTTGTTATAAGTTTCGAGAGCAGACACATTGATGCAGCAGAAAAATATAGGACAAGATGCAGCCATTAAACATTACCTCATTCAAGATATTATCAAACAAATGTGACTTCAAATAATCAGGAATAATATGGCTCAGATGACCGTCAAATATAGCAAATAAACCAAGCTCGCTGTTACCAACTTGCTTAAATTCTGCAACAACATAGTCTTCCATGGGATGATGTGCTTTCCCCTTCACTAAATGATAACCATGTGTTATGTTCTTTGACATCTTACTTTTCCCTTTTCCAGATTCAGCTGTGGAACCTAAGCCAACTTTTTCTTGTACTTTTTCCTGCGGTAAATCAATATAAGCAGCTAAGTAAACAGTAAATTAACATCATAAAATTAGCCTTTGTTTATCTAACAAGCCAAGCCAGTTCTGCGGTATTGGCACGTGCATAAGGCAAAAACTCAGGCACAAGGTTTGGTCATGCGCAATCATCACTGAGAATCAGTGGTCTAAAACCTCCAGTTCTTCCAAATTTACCACATTAAAATACCATAAACTAGTTCTTAGAAACTATTCCTATAATTTTCATGAAAAGAAAATTCCATTCAACCCCATCACCCAAAATCAATTACCTCATGATCTTGCAAATGGTTTCTTCAAAAAAAAAAAAAATAATTAAAAACAAAGCTAAAGACCATAAAAGATCATCTGTTTTTCATGTTATTCAAATTTAAACATTATTACATTCCATTACCAAAGAAGAACAACCACAGGTTACATAGATTCCTCCCCATAGTCGTTACAAATCATGTCATTGCCCATCATTTCAGAACACAGCAAAATGATCAAATCAAAACCCAAATATTTGCTTGATGATTGTTATCCTTTCATATGTACCAAAAAAGATACAACAGATCATGCAAAGTCTAACCATAACAAAAAAAGAACATCAATAGTCATTTGGAGATAAAAGCAATCCCACCAATGTTAAATTGGGATAACCTGAGCACACAAAGGGTATTCAAATAAGAAAGAAATAAGTTGATCAACACAAACAAAACCCAAAAAAGTAAAGAGCATACCTTCATCTTAAGGAGGATTTCTCTGCCAATCATAGCTTCCTTAAAGCGAAAGAGCTAGTATATATATAGTATTTTTTTTGGTTGAGAGGGCTAAGGTGTGATGACACAGTGGCCAAGAGAAGGAAAAAAAAAAAAAGAAAGGCCTGACCGACAGACAGAAACAAGTTAAGGATGAGGAAGCTAAGAGAGAGAAGTGTAAGAACAAGAAGAGGGAGACAGGTGTTTGTTGCACTAGGATCAACTGTTGACACGGCGCGTTCTTTGCTTTAACTCCATGACGCGTTCTTCACACTCGCCTTTGTCTTTTCTCAACTTTTTTTCTTCTTTTCCATGTTTTGGTCTTTACTTTTGGTTCCTGTAAACTCCCATAAAGACTAAAAAAAATAAATAAATGTACAAATTACTTTTCGATTATTTGTATATTTATATTATATAAAATATTAAAATTTTTATTTTTATATTTTATTTTATAAAAATTATACATCAAAATTTATATCATGAAAACATAAAATATATTAAATTATTAAATTTAAGTTTGAAAGTTAAAGAAAGGGATAAAAGTCAATTGGTTGGAATACAAGGGCAAAGAAAAATATCAATTTGATTGGATAATGATAAAACGTGATTGGTTGAATTTCACTGTTTTGTCGACATAGCATCCATCTTCTATTTTTATGAATTGACAACCGTGATTAAGGGGCTGAAAATGGAAAATGGTTGGAAAAAATGACACCCATCAACTCCATTATCAAATATCACCACCATTCTTCAACCCTTTTTTTTTTTAGCATTAAGGGGTTTTTCATTTTTGCATATTTCTTCTTTGACCAGCTTTAACGAATTTATTTATGTTAAATTTAATAAAATTATAAAAAATTATTTTTATATTACTTTTTAACGAATTTAAAATCAAACAATTAAATTCTTTTAATCCCTTAAATCTAACATTTGTTGCTATTTTTCAATTTTTGAATTCATCAATTACATCCAACTAAACGTTTTATTTATAGTATGTAATTACAATTTGTGAATATAAATCTGTTAGTATCAAGCATCAAGTGGAGGGTTAAAATCTTGAAATTATAAAAAAAAAGTGTTAGAGATCACAATAGCTTTAATATCACTTGTTAGATTAAAAGCTTCAATTTAATTAAATATCAGTAGAAACGAAATCAAATAACCAATCAATTATACAAAAGATAACAATTTAATGTAGTTCGATCCAACTAACTTACGTCCACGGATGGAAACAAGATCTACTAGTTGTAAAGAATTATAAATATAAATGAAAAATAAGATCTACTAATTGTAAAAAATTACAAATATACATCAAAATAATCATTCACTATTAATATTCATAGATCTTCTCAATTTTTTTTTTAATTCTATGGAGTATTCTCAATCCAAATAAATACATATTCATGTGCATCCTTTCAACATACCTATGTAGATCCTCTCAATCTGTTTTAGTTTACTCACAAACATATAAATGTACACACTCATAAAGTATAAATCTCCAGTAATCTTATAAGGTGTTTATCCCATAAAATCTTATAACTCTCTTACATCTTTTTCTCATCCCTAATCCTATGAGACTTTATTTATTTATAAGCATACAAACTTGCCTATTAAGAATCTATCTCCTCATAGATTTCTTCTTCTGCAAGTCAAACTTACCTATTAAGAATTTATTTCCTCTTAAAATTCTTCTTCTGCAAGTATTATTGTCCATCAAGTAATATCTAACCAATCCTAAATAAATTTCTTATGAGATTTGAGTTACTATTTCTAACAAAGAGAACAGTTAGAACAAAGGCAGGAAGGGTTCTCTGTATTTGTCTCTAATGTTCAAGTCAGAATGAGAAAAGTTGGAAGGAGAGAAAAATAGGAATGTAAGAAAAAGTTAAATTAGATTGATAGTTTTTGGATGATTCTATTTATAAGTGAAAAATAATGAGTCTGTGGGGTAAACTAGTAATGTAGTTAAACTGACATAGCACTATACATGTTACATTGATCTTACATATCAAGTTGGTTCAAAAGTCAAAATTAACCATAGCTATCTATTGATGATAGTCTTTAATGAAAAACAAAATCGATTTGCCATTTGGATTTAAAAATACCCCTAACAAAATCTATTAATAATAATTTTATACATTTTTTACAATAATTTAACATTACAGGGGGCATTTGGTTTAGGGGAATCCACACATATTTTTTTGGAATCTTATTGTTAGGTATTTGATTTCAATGTTTGATTTAAGGTAATCTAATTTCGAAAAAATCTGACATATTTTTAATAGTACCCAAAGTCCGAAATCAAAAACCCACCTCTCCATATGATATTCTAGGATTTCGAAGAAAAAGTAGCGTTATTTTCAAATTTGACCAGACTAAAAAATTATGAAATAGCCATTACCATTTTGAAAAATATGTCTAAAAATGAATGCAAGTTAGTTGTAAGTTTATGCTGGTAAAAATTTTGGTTTATATATGGCGTTTGGCATAAAAAAAGCCTTCAATAATTTCTTACAAAAAATTGAATGAGGTTATTCAAGATGTTTCTAACCAAAAACGCCTTAAATAATCTTCAAAAATTTTTATGAGGAGATTATTGAATGTATTTTTGGTAAGAAATACCTTGAATAACTTCCATTAAATTTTTTTGTAAAGGATTATTTAAGGCGTTTTTGGCCAAAAACGTTTTCAATAATTTCTTACCAATTTTTTAGGAATTATTTGATGTGTTTCTGCCTAGACATGCCTTAAATAATCCTTAAAAAAAATAATTAATAAAAGTTATTCAAAATATTTTTGGTCAAAAATGACTTCAATAATTCACTTCAATTTTTATGAGGTGATTATTTAAGGGATTTTTGGACAAAAACGTCATGAATAATCCCAAAAAAAAATTTGATTAGAGATTATTCAATGCGTTTTTGCCCATAAAATGCATTGAATAATCCCCTCATAAAATTTAATGGGGTTATTGAAAATATTTTTGGCTAAAAATACCTTTAATAATCTTTTTCAATTTTTTATGAGATGATTATTCAATGCATTTTTAACCAAAAATGCCTTCAATAATCCCTTTCAATTTTGTATTAGAGATTATTTAATGTGTTTTTTCTCAGAAAATGCCTTAAATAATCCTTTACAAAAAAATTAAATGAGATTATTCAAGGTATTTTTGACTAAAAATATCTTTAATAATTCCCTTCAGTTTTTATTGAAGATTATTCAATGCGTTTTTGACCAAAAATGCCTTGAATAATCCTTTCTAATTTTTTTATTGGAGATTATTTAATGTATTTTTGCTTAGAAAACGCCTTTAATAATCCTCTCATAAAAATTTTTAGGGATTATTTAAGGCGTTTTTCAAAATAAAATGGAAGGGGATTATTAAAGGCCTTTTTGGATAAAAATGCTTTTAATAATCCCCTCATTTTAATTGAAAGGGATTATTCAAGGGGTTTTTTGGTCATAAACACCTTAAATAACCCATTCAATTTTTTGTAAAGATTATTCAACACATTTTCTTGTAAAAAATGTCTTGAATAATTTTCTTCAATTAAAACTTAGATTATTTAAATTACCATCATATATGCCAAGGAGATTAATATAATTATTCAGGATTTAATATATGTAGATTCCCTTATAACCAAACAAGTGAATCTAAAAGCAGGATGCCCTAAAAATGAAAGAAAACCTAAGTATCGTATTTTTTCGAAGATCACACTTTCTCTTATAATCTATAATTTCGCGAACTAAACGCCCCCTATAGAGGTTATATTCTTTTCAAACATCATCTAACTATGTAACTTGTATCCTTTGTGGAAAAAAAAAAAAGAATAAGCTATAAATAAAGGAATCTAGCATAGGATACATGATTTAGCCAATGTTTTGGGACGAAGTTATGTAAAGGGGTTGATTCAAAAAAATCATAGAACATGAATAATTCCTTATGTTTGTGTTCAAGATCATAGAGCAGACCATACAAGCAAAACTCTCAAGAAAAAGACAAGCATAAAATCCCCATTAAAAAGGGTAATCTAAAAAATCTAACACACCCAATATCATTACACTTTGAGTCACTTCGCACCTCATAGCTTTAAGATGATACAATATAGATTTTTTTTTTTTACCAAAGTAATTTGAGCATGATAAGTAACTACTTGCTAAAATTAAAATCAACTAAAATAATATGAAAATATTTTCATCTTGTCATGCCTATTTACTCGGTCAACTTTTGATCAATACGCTTAATCTCTTGGGTCATCTAGATAGAGCACTCTTAAATTGCCACATCATTAGTATCCAAAGGAACAGCTCATCCTTCACTAAGGGAAGAACTCGTCCAATATCCTTGGTAACATCCTATCAAGATATCATATCAAAACTAAACATTTGATCTCTAACTTGACTGAGATCATTAAAAGTAACTTGTACCTACTTGAGATTATTAAATGTGACTCATAGCTACCTACGTGAACACTTATCAAGCTTCACGTATATTTCTCATCAATTATCAACAATTCTAATAAAGTCACCACTTATTGTCTCATATATAATTGAATGGGAGCCAACATAGAAATAAACATTCATTCAACGATTGTTTTTAAGAATAAGATAAAGCACTTTTAAATGCAGTATTAATAAAGAAATTTTCAGCTAACATATTTACTAGGAAGAACTCGTCCAACATTTAATCACATCCTAGTATTTCATCAAAAACAAATTATCCCAACTTGACTGAATTAAAGACTGTACCTCTATATATAGTGACTCATATTACAGTAACCTTCGCCACTATATTTTAGTCAACAACAATATAAAGTCCAGCCTATTTTCTCATATATTAATCACTACGTAAGCAATCAAAACTAAGCATTTGTTCAGTAGCATTACACTAATTAGCACTTTATCTCCTGTCATTAGTATCCAAAGGAACAGCTTATCCTTTACTAAGGGAAGAACTCGTCCAACATCCCTAGTAACATCCCATCAAGATATCATATCAAAACTAAACATTTGATCTCTAACTTGACTGAGATCATTAAAAGTAACTTGTACCTACTTGAGATTATTAAATGTGACTTATAGCTACCTACGTGAACACTCATTGAGCTTCACGTATATTTCTCATCAATTATCAACAATTCTAGTAAAGTCACCACTTATTGTCTTAGATATATAAGGTAATGAGGAAGCACAAATACGTAAGACAATACAAACACTTCATACCTAAGCACTTTTCATTCATTGTAGCTCCCTTCACTAAGATAGAGCACTTTTAAATTGCCAAGTCATTAGTATCCAAAGGAACAGCTCATCCCTCACTAAGGGAAGAACTCGTCCAACATCCCTAGTAACATCCCATCAAGATATCATATCAAAACTAAACATTTGATCTCTAACTTGACCAAGATCATTAAAAGTAACCTATACCTACTTGAAATTATTAAATGTGACTCATAGCTACCTACGTGAACACTCATCGAGCTTCACGTATATTTCTCATCAATTATCAACAATTCTAGTAAAGTCACCATTTATTGTCTCATATATATAAGGTAATGAGGAAGCACAAATATGTAAGACAATACAAACACTTCATACCTAAGCACTTTTCGTTCATTGTAACTCCCTTCACACACCTTATCTTTGTCCACATTCTTCCTCATATACTTCACTACTTGAGCTTTGGAGTATGCCCTTAAGAAACAACTCCGATGCCCTCTGATTGTGATTTTTTACTATAGATTTAGATCATACAACCTCCAACAACATTACACCAATCTTCTCTAATTAAAACATCAAAAATACAATCAACATATGTAGAGTCATGATATTTGCTTGTCAACTTTATTCCAAATATTTGAAATTTTTATATGATATATAATTATTGAATGAATTTAAAAGTGGGGTTTATCAATTTAAAAGTAAATCAACTCATTAATACATAAGATTGTAGACTTAAATCAATAGATTATTACCACATTGAAAAAAATAAACGTAAAAAACAAAAATGATAGGACGAATATTATTTTAGTCTGAGATTTTATCGAATATGCAAAACATTTAGTCAAAAATATGTCTTCTTTTTCTATGTTTGTTTTGTTCATCATGAAACCATCATTAAGAAAAGATTAACCCAAGTCAGTTTGGCACTAATGATAGTGTGGAGTTCCCACTCAAAGCTCTAACTCTATTTAGATTGGCTCCTTGTTCAAGACTTACTTTTTCCCCTTCATCTGCTTGCTTATCTCAAAACCTTGGAGTCAATCTGTCAATGTTGAAGTCAATTTTGCATCCCCAAAGAATTTTTTTTTATTATTATTAGTTTGCATTAATGAGCTACAAATTTGGTGCATGAACTTGCAATGTACCTTTTATAAATGTTGAACAACTAAAGGATAACAGTTTTGTACATTACAAAGATGGGTTGTCACAAATATTTATAACCATTATGATAAATTTAATCAGTGTTGAATGTTTTAAATGTATAATTCCTTCCAAGTATCAATTAAACAAATATCTTATTTATTGTCATGGGGCCATCGATTCTTGTATTTAGATATGTCTTTAATCTACAAGGTCCCTCCAATAAATAAAAATGATTCCCTCCAAGAAAAACTTCTTTGTGAATAAAAAACTAAAATTTTGAGATAAAAAAATTTAATTCACAAATCCCAATTAATTTACAAAATGTATTAATATTTAAGTTTAATCCTCATTTAAAAACAAAAAAAAACTAAATAGTTTTATTATTTTGTATAATAAAATAAATTATTTGATTTTAGTTTTCTTTAAATATCAATCAAAATTATCAAACATTTTATTTAATGTAAATTTGACAATTTTAAATATAATGTAATGATACTATATGAAAATGTTGGAAAAAATATAAAAATAATGGAGTTTAAAATTTGAATAAAAATTATATATAAGTTTAACAAAAATAAAAAAAATATATTTGTATTTGACGTATCAATATAAATTATGATATAATAATTTTTATATTATATATATATATTTAACACAAAATAAATATGATATAAATATAAAAATTTTTAAATTTAATTTTATAAGTGACGTGTTCAAGTTATTCTTTTATATGTAATTAAATTGGGCTTCTTTTTTACCTAAAAAAAGAAGCCCATTATATTATGATCAAGCTTTAATCTGAGCTCAAAACTTTAAAATTTAGCCCAAAGAAAAGCCCATTAAATAAAGAAAGAAGCAGCTGCTGGTCAAAAGTTGGCACAAGAGTCAAGAGTCAGCTAAACCCACTCCTATGGACCTACCATCTCCACAGCCTTAAGCTTAAGAGCATCAATGAAGTAAAGAATTAAGAAATGGCTTGCTTGCTTGTGGGACAAGTGAAAGTGGACCAAAATTTGGCTGACTGCTGGTGGTCCTTTGGCATGATGAACTCAAATGGGCCCAAAAGTTCCTCCAAAGAAACCCAAATGGGAGACGCAGGAAATTTCTCAAGGAGTTCTTTGTCCTCATTTCTACGAGGGATGCAAAGTATTTAATGAAATTAAAATATAAAAAATTTTGAGCACAGCTGAATTAGTCAATGTAATTATTTTTTAAAATTGATATTTAAATTTTAAATTTTGTATTTTTTTATCTCCAAGCTATAATTTTATTTGAAAAATATTAAAATATAAAAAATTTTAGATTTTTTTTATTAACAGTAAAAGACTCTTGAGTTTTGTTTAATATTTTTTTTTGGAATTGATCTAAGTAAATTCATTTACGTCGAATTAATTAATTTATTAAAAAATTATCTTATCATAACTTTTCAATAAATTCAAATCTAAATAATAAAAAAAAAAACAAATTCTTTTTATCTTTTGAACCAATCATCAACTGATAGATTTTTTTTTTAATTTTGAGTAGTCTTCCGTAGCCTTTGTCTCCACAAAAACAAAGAAAGGTTTGCTTTGTTGATCCCATCATAGCCATGGTCTTGAGAGAGCCTAAACAATCAAACAAGTAAGAATTTATTAGCATTTTTTTAGCAATTTTGTTGGCAATTAAGTAGTCAATGTCTCTGCTCTCTGTGGTCTAAAAAGTCTTTTTGGGTTTATATGGAAGAGTATTTTTGGGAGGCTGTGTCAACTCATAAAAACAAAAGCAAGTGAATGTAGAAAGGCTAAGAGAATGCCATTGAATCTGATCAAACTAGATATCATAAGTAAAGCAAATTGGCTGTAATTTTTAACATGTTTGATTCAATCTTAATCAAACTTTAGGTGCCTCATTTTTGCCAATTCTATAGCACGGCAAGATTGATCCTAATATGGCATTAGCTCGAGTGATAAGAGTAAGATGAGATTTGGATTCGAATCTTTTAAGAATCGAAGAACTAATAATTTATACAAAAAATGAAAAGAATTATATAGTAAGTATAAACAAATAGATTCAATCCTTACTATATTATTTTGAAGATAATTGTATACTTCATTAAATCAAAATGATTCAGATCATTTAACTATAACTTAACCTTTGATCAAAGATGAATAAAACTTACTTTGAATCATTTAAGACACATTTGGGAATATCCCACATTAACAATATTATTGCAACGCCTAGCTCTCCATGTGTGCTTGAGTTGGCAAGAATGACTTCATGATTTACACCACCAAAAAAAAACTCATCAGAATCACCCAACAAGCTGTCCCATCTAGACATAACACATGATTCTCTCATCTTTGGTCCTAGCTATCACACTTTCAATATCATCAGCTTGCTTCCCTGATATATATGCATGTACACAAACTTACTCATGCACCCCAAACTCTCGCCCAAGAGAGATGGAAAATCGCAGGAAAAGGTCTAGCTCTGGTGAGATATTCTCCTTCCCTAGCACCCCAAATCAAGACCAAGATTCCGACTTCGAATTCGGGTGTTTTACCCCGGATTCACCTTCTCAGGCTCCATATAGAACCTCACCAGCTGATCATCTTTTCTTCAATGGCCGACTTTTGCCACATGCCTTTCCTTTCCAACCTGCAACAATGGTTGCAGCTGATTGTTCTCGGGGGACAAGCAGAACAAGCAGCATCAACAGCAAGGATTCATTGATGTCTTCAAGAAGTAACAGCACTAACAGCAGAAGAAGTTGCAGCAGTGCTAGAACAAGCTCGAGTGACAATTCAGAAGGGAGACTGTTGTACCATAGCAAAATCCACGCATATAATAAACCAAGCAAAATGGTGCTATATGGGGATTCTCAGAGATGGCAGTACATTACACCAATGCCTGTTCTGAAACGTAAGGTCTCCAAGAGAAAAAACAATGGGGTTGTGGTGAAAGAAGCCTTGAGAGCTAAGAAACAAGGTGATCATCATCAAGAAAAGAGTACCACTAGGGGAAGATCGGGGCCTTGCCTGAGATTTTTCAAGTTATTTTTGTTGGCCGGTAGAGAATGTCATGCCATGGAACCTTCCAGGAAACAAGATGTGGTGCAAGGAAATTTGAGTGTTGGATAATTTATGACTGCATATTATTCTCTTTTTTTTAATATTTTTCCAAACTTTTCTTGTTTATGTTGGTTTTGTGCTATGAGCATCATTTGTTTGGAATTTTGGTACAATTTTTCTTGCCAAGTGGAAAAAGAAAAACATTGAAGATATGATATCAGGGAAAAGATATGAATAATACTGCATTCTTGCTGGTTTCTCCATGATTTTGGTATCATTAAAATGTTGTGGAAATTCATTGCAAGATTCTAGGATTATCCAGGATTTGTAATCTGCTGCAGACCTGCAACGGCTGATATTTTGTTCAAAGGAAGATTGGGGAGTGTCAAGAGTGTCATGTTTCATTTATAAAAGCATACTTAATAGCATTATATGCCAATCTGCACCAGCATAATTTGGCTCTTAACAAGCTTAAAATTATTAGAAATTGGAAAGTAGAGATCACCTTAAGCCCTTTGAACAATCAAGCTGCTATCTCTTTTGTAAAAAGAAATGGATTATTTAGATTTCAAGTATATGAAAATACAGGTTTAGTTTCTTGCTTGTAAACTAAAACATTTAAGGTGGCTGTAAGACCTAGCATCAAACAAATTTAGGTTTGTTTTTTTTTTTTTTTCCTTTTTAAGACATAAAACATTCATTTTCATAGTGATACATGTAGAAAAATGATATCGATTTTCTTTTTTTTTTTCCTCAATTATACTTCTTGTTTAGACAAAACCATTAAGATCTTCAATATTTTCTCTGCAAGAATCTCATGCTTGGTACCGAAGCAACCATAGGCCAAGCTAACATTGTATATTGAAAATTTGCATTGCCCAACATTTTCTTTAATTTCAAATGAATCTTGCTGACTTGCCTTGGATCCATGAACGCATTCCCCCTAGAATTTCATTGAAAATCCTGATGCTTGTGAGTGCAGCATTTGCAGCTTTTGAACAACAGTAAAGAGACATTATTCTAGTTCAAATTTTAGGGTGAATGTTCAAAGGAAACCTAAAGGGCAAATCTTATGTTAGAAAAAACTACAACTGATTAGAAAGTTCGGTTTAATGGATTAAAGAGACAGATGTAAAAGGACATTAAAACAAACATAGGAATTTCAGCAACCAAGGAACACAACCTTTGCCTACAAACAAATTCTCATCCTATTGTCCCTCTAATACAAACCTTCTAAATTTCATTCCAAGAAGTTTGGCATAACATCGGTGTACATCCCTGCCTCGTTGTTCCTATACTCCACAGGTTGATGTTGGCGATGCTCTATTGATGTCGAAGATGAAGATGTAGCCATTCTTGCAGGTAATGTAAAGCTCCTCTTAAACTTGTTTTCCATCTTCCTAATGTTCTCTGGATGACTGTCCAAGCTCAAGAACTCGTTGGGGTTTGCACCAGCATCTGGATTTTGATTAGAATCTTTTCCTTCAAGAATAAGTGGATGGTGGTTTTGGTCTGGTTTGTTTCTTAAGCTCTCGGGGTTAAATAAAAGCTTGGCATCTTCAGTTCGTCCAGCGAGAGCATTGAAGAAAGTTAACCCATTAGGCCATTTTACGTCATTTTCATGCTCACCAATCATATCTTCCATTCGGGTTTCAGATGAATGAGGCAGGAGAAACATGTGGGTCTCATCTTTGGCCTGCGGAAATCCAAGTCTACCCGGGTTCTGAAAATTAGGTGAAGCAAGCATTGGAGTCGCTGGTGGAAGCTGCCTCTGGTTCCAGTTGAAGAGAGGAGGAGGAGGCCGGGTTGGAATGGCAGACTGCTTCGAAGGCATTGTAGACGAAGAGGAACTGTTTCTGTTTGACGAAAACAACTGAGAGAGATAGAAACCAGATTGATAGCCAAGAGATTCAAAGGTATGCCTCATTCTTAGCACAACATGGAGGTCTTCAGGTATCTGAAGATACACACAGCATCTCTATGAGATCAAAATCATCATACATTTCAGCTACAATAACCATTCACTAACCGAAGACCTGACTTTGATCTTGAAAATCAACCGTAAAACACCCGTAAATTAAATTTTCAAAAGCTACTTTATTGTCAACTAAACAACTAGTAATTAGAAAATTTTATTATCAGACTCACAATCTTGCAGGAACCCAACTGGAGAAGACCATGACCAGCTTGAATCACAGCAATAGTCTAGTCAAGAGAAATCAAGAATCACCAAAGTCTCAATGACTAGACAAACAAGGGGAAAAATCAAACCAGAATACGACTAACAACAGTGAAAAATAAGTTGTTTCTACGCTGACCTGAATGCCTGACTCAAATTGATCAGTCCATTCAGGAGGAAGCTGCAATTAAATAACAACAAAAGGGGAAAGGTTACCATCAATCATAAATATAGACCATCTAACCAAATAACAAAAGCCACAGTATAATTGTCATCATATACTAGATCATTGAACCCAAACTTCTTTTTTTATAGGTTACCAGAAAACTAAGAATCCAACGTTCTACAGACACCACTCGGCTGTTGGCCATTGAACCCAAACTTCAAAAGAGGGTAAACAATTGAAATTAAAAAAATATATAGTGAAAAAGGAGGAGTATATGGCATACAGCATCAAAAGAACTCTGCCAATAATTGGAGATATTGGGTTCGCAGTCTGTTGGTTCTTTGAATACCCATTTATGGCACTTATCTGATGCAACCTTTCCCATTAACCTGTTCATAAAGTCAAATTTCAACCAATCAAAAACACATACCAAGAAATAAACAAAAAAAAAAATTTCTTTCCATTTATTTTTCAACCAAAAATAAAAATTATTAACACCTACCCAGTACCCACCCTTCTCCATAATTATATAACTGAATGGACATTTTGCTGAAAGCTTTCCTCACTGGATCTTCTCCATCAATCTCTTCCAAACAATCTGTAACTCTTCCTCGGCAGAATCCATCTTCCCACATCAACATCCTTCACAAAATATTTTCAATAGAAAAAAAAATTACCACAAAATTCAACATAAATTTGCTAAATTTAAAAATGAAAATGCCTATAAATAAGAAATTAACAAAAACCCATTTCAGAAAATCAATTACTAACTCAAATTTCGCTCAACATCTCCCCATCTCTCATTAACCAAACTTTTCTCCCCTGTTTCTGAATGGAAAAAAGTAATGTATAGCTTTTTTATTGGTGAAATTGAAACAAGTGTAAAGAAAAAATGATAAATAAGACAAACTATCCCATTCACTTAATGGTCAAAAGTTCAGAACACTTGAACCCTGTTTCTCCTTCATTTTCCTCTGTTTTCCCAGGAACCAAACAAAGAAAAAAAAAGTCAAAGGCTAAAAAACACCAAACATACTTACAAGCTGCCATTATCATCTCCAACCTTGCAACCATTACCACCCCTCACTCTCCTACAGCAAAACAAAGAAACCCAAATAAGTAAAACATCTGAAAAAACACACAACTTGAAGATGGAAGCTTTTGTTTGAGATAAACATATAAATACAAAGAAAATAAAAGTCGAAGATTTGAAGGGGTGAACAAAAAAGAACATACGGGCGAGGACGGATGGTCCAGAAGACAGAGTAAGTCCAATCTGAGTTGAGACAGACATTTCTAAGTGCCTCATGAAGGGCCATCATCCCAACAGCTTCTTTGCTCCTATCTGCTGATCCTGAGCCCACCATCTCTCTGTCTCTCTCCCTCCCTGTCTCTCTCGATATATATAAGTGTTTATATTTATATGTAAGAAATGATATGTATTCCTTTTTTTCCCCTTTCTCTGATGCAAGCAACTCCCTTTGAAACACTGCTACTGCCTTTGCCACTTCTCCTGCGATTATAAACTTGGTAAGATGGCCTGTAGCTTATTTATTTTGTGTGTACCTTCTTTTTCATTTCTCTCTCTCTTTCTTTTTTTTTTTTATCTCTTTGTTTTGACAATCACTGCTTTTCTTTCTCTGGTTATCAACCACAAAGCAAAAGTATTTTCTTCTCTTTTCACTCTCTCTCTCCCTCTTTATCTTTACTGCTATTTCTTTCGTTTGTTCCCAACCGTGTCAGCTTCTCTTATATCAATACATGTAAAATATTATATTTATATTATATTTTATATAAAAATAACGTATTATATATTTTATAAAAATATAAAATATAAAATATAATTTTTTTATTTTATTAAATTTATTTATAATTTTTTTAAAATTTTAAGTTAAGTTATTTTTAAAATTTTTATTTATATTATTTTTATATCATATTATTATATTATATTTTAAATTATTAAATTTAAATGAAAGTGTAAAAGGGACAGCTTGGAATTTCAAATTATACGTGGGAGTATTTGTTAAAAAATTTAATAATTTTAAATATAATGTAATAATATAATCTAAAAATTATATATATGATAAAAATTTAAAAATATATTTTTATATTTATATTTTAATATAAATTATAATACTATAATTTTAATATAAATTAAACACGATTTTAATACATAAATTATTAAATCTAATTGTAAGAGAGAGTTAGGTATCTTTGTAGAGTTTGGTTGGCTCTTAACTTGTTTTTGTTTTGTTGTAAAACTTGTGAACTAGCTAGTATGTGTGTGCCTCTTATCAACATTTTTGTTTTGGAGCTATGTAACTCTTTTTCTACCTTTTTGTTTTGGGGCTATGGAACTTTTTCCTACCACTTTTGTTTTGTTTTGATTTGGGTTTGAAATTTTTGGAAAAAAAAAAGCATAAAAAATTTCTAACTCTTTATGTTTAGTAAGATTGAAACTAGATTCATGAGATTATCACAAAATTTTGATTTGATTGGTTCATAAAAGATCATAATTAAATCATATCAAAATTTCATAAAAAAATTTTGTAAAATCAAATTTCCAATTACACTTACATGATATGAAATTTGTTACATAGGTGAATCATATTGATATATAAATAAAAGAATTGCAATTTGCTATAATTATAAAGATGAATTTCTTTATTCTTAGTTTATTTCATAAGAATGTCTACAATATTGAAATTTTGTGAAAAACTTTTT